CATTGGAAGTTTAGCCTGCTACAACAACATTGGACACATATTCGCCATTGCACCTTAGATTGTCATCAACAGGCGCATGAACTCCATCACCATGCTGACCATCGGAGACTGTCAGAAAGTTGTTCACGTTCATCGACCCACTGCCCGCAAAGGAGTTGTGCAAGTGGATACCATTCATCCTGTTGGTGTCGGATGGATACGTTTTGCAATCCTCATGAACGATCAAATGTGCATGAACAGAGAAACAACTGTTCACTTTTGCCATCAGAATGGAGCAGGTTGTGAACCACAAAAGACCACTTTGTGCTGTGACGTTGCTGATCCAATTTCAGCCCCGACCTTTTCCATCCCTCCGCTCGTTGTGGCAGTTCCACGGAGTTTGCGTTGCCTTGGCTGCCCTCGCCAAACTCTGGCCGGCATCCGCCAGGCTCATGTTGAAACCTCTTGTGAACAGTGCCACTGCCAGCTGTGACCCCGCTATTGGCACCAATGGGATCGCCACACTGGACACTGCCCGTGAAGGACAAGTCGGCACCTGAAATGACAAGAAAATGACGAACAGGCGGACGCTTGACAGAGCTCTCCCTCCCGCTATCAAAGGTTTCATCAACTGCACTCTGGGCCACAAGGAGGACTACTCCGACACAGGACTTCCCGCGGTCTTGAGTAAGGGCTCGGAGTCCCTTTGCATGGCGCGCCAATGCAGCTCCTCATGCACAGCATGGACTTCATCACTCAGTTCCTCCAAATGTAACACGATGGAGGATAGCCCGTATTGACTAAGCTCACTGTGTATCGCCCCCCATCTTCCATACGCTAACAGCTCGTAACAAGGGAAGGGCTAATTTCCAAGTCGCACACTTGGAACTTGGAACTTGGAACGCCGGAGAACACTACAGACGACAACCCTGTCCATGAAAGGCTGGTAGGCGATGAACAACGGACAGACTCCATTTCCACAGCACCTAACGTAGCAGAGACGACACACGTGTCTGACACACGCGTCTGACGTCTTCCAAAGAGACATTCATAGCACTGCACTTCTGCAGATTACTGGCCATCACACAGGAAATGGTCCTTCTGTGCTAAGCTATGCACATTGCTGCCCCTGCCAAGCCTACACAATCCTCTTTTTGGCTTTTGGGATGGTAGACTTCCAACATGTGCCCCCATCATTGAGAGTTCTCACACCGCCTCCCCACACTGCTTATGAATTCATGCACATGGCAAGTGTACCTTTGCAGGCAACGTGGCAGAGTACATTCCTCGGTGTGGAATACAGGCGGATGTATGAAATGACCTTTTGTGTGAAGAGCTGCTCGTCATCTGCGTGGTTTCCTGACTCGCATGGTGAGGCTTGGTGAGCACTATCTCCTGATAGACAGATTTTGTCCCTTTTGAAAGTCCTTCCCCTTGCAAAGGGCGTTGGCGCACCAGTGACCAAATGCGAAAAAGAGTTTAAAAGACAAAAAAGATGGGGGGTGGATCCTGCCACGTTGTAGGGGAAGATAGCTTGTCCAGTTTACACATTTGGCGAGTAGTGCTGTGAGGCCCTAAGTATCAGGACGCGGATGACATGATGAGCAGTTATTTTCTGACACACCCAGTCTCTGTTGTCGACCCTTTTTTTTTTTTTGACCTCAGAAACGTTGCCTCTCGCATGTTGTATTTCACAACTCATATGTGACACAGAATCGGGCGCTTGCTGAACCCGCTGCTAGTGGGACATTGTCCCGACAGTGTGCTCAGGAGGCATTTGACAGATGATGGATCCTTACGCACCGCGTCGCCCAGAGTTTGCAATACCCCGCTGCCAGTGGGACCTCGTCCCGACGACCGTCTGCTCAGGAGGCATTTAACAGCTGGATCCTTAGGCACCACATCGCCCAGAGTTAGCAATACCCTTGAGTTACTCACATCAGTGCTGCGACCCTAGCACACTGTCAATCCAAACGGCTGACAAGGATAGCATTAAGTCCAAAGGAACTAGTTTGTCACAGTCTGAAGTGCGGAGAGAGAGAGAGAGAGAGAGAGAGAGAGAGAGAGAGAGAGAGAGAGAGAG